AAAATGCTAATGATTCCAGGGATTCTCTATAACTTACCAATCCAAGCCGTAGCAACTGATGCTATAGAAGTACCAACCGTAAACACGACCCTGTGCCTCTCGAACAAGTCCTAAGAAATGATTACAATAATCCATTAAGAAGATTATACAACAGAAACCCTGATGAATAAAACAAATCCCTAAACCCAATTCTTCAAAAATTGACATATTGAAATTCTTCAAACCCATACAAAATAGAGAAATGGGATCGATCGATCACCTTGGTGGATAGATACGAATCGTGGAGAGCGACCAATGAATTTTGGGCTTTTTTCTTCAGCTGAGGCACAACTGCGTAACCCAGAATCGATGTCCCTCTGCCTCTCAGCCGATTCATGGTCCCTGATTCGGATGAAGAAACTCGGAGTGAGTCGACTCGGCGGAGTAGATTGAGTTATCTGGAAATTGCTTGCGGCACTAGATCGTCGGAGACAAAAACCCAACGAGGGAATTCCCTTGCACGCAAAGGACGAATCTTCGCCCAGATTTTTCTCCGGCCAAAAAGCCTTAAAAACAAACCTTTTCAGTTTTCAACTATTTTATTTCAAAATGTTGGAATGAAATTTATTTTTGTTGTAAAAAAAATTCTAAAATATAATCATAATAAATGTGAAAATGGCATTTTTATAAGTTGTGTATTTTCAAAAGTGTCTTTTTCTGATAGTTGCAATTCTACTTGAGAATATCTTTCACAAAGAGCTTGTAGTAGCGAGTGTGACAAAGTCTTTATGTTTTCTCTGATGTAAAGTTTATTAACAGAGTCAAAAACAAAAGAGAAAACTGCAACATCACTGGTTTCGTCCTATACTTGTTTCAGCCATAGCCATTTCCAAAAAGAAAAAAGAGCCAAAATTTCAAAAAGAGAAACACTTTCACCTCCCCTCCTCTTCCACAAAAATTCACAAAAAACGGATCGAGAGAGATCTGTAGAAGCCTGAGTGGGGGAGATTCAGCTGATGATTTCTCGATGCTGTGATCATGAATCATGATCATGGTGATGTCGAATTCGCAGACAAATCTTGGATTCCTGAGTTTTTCAATTGTTCAGAATCTTTGGTCTCTGAGCTTTCTTTCTTCACAGCAGGTTTACCATTAGAAAGAGGCTTTGAATCAGAGTGGCTTGGCGATGGTGAGATCCTCTGATGGGTTGATGAAACAGGTCTAGCATAAGGAGTTTGTAGAGACGGAGGCATGGTCAAGCTCGGATATGGCAGCATCGGGTGGTCGAATTTGCAGTTTGGCCCGAACTTGCAGAACCCATAAGACTTGAAGTTACCACAAGCTGGTTGCCCCTGGACAGCAAAAACCACAACAGTGAATCTCATTAGATATACTCTTTAGGAACCAAATCAAGACCACATTTCTCTGTAACCAAAGCTCTTATTTCAGTTTACCAAAAAATCAGACTTTGAGCTACAAAACCAAGAGAACAAGAGACTTACAGGTCTGGCTGGAAGAACAAACGGGTTTAAGAGATTTGGTGGTGGTGGTGAAACCCTTACTCCAGGATGATTGTATTTGCAATCGTCTCCATATTTACATGTCCCGGTGCTCATAAAAAACCGACATTCTGGTTGTTCAGATTTTTCAGGCAAACCGTGATTCAATGCCACAGCCATGGGCAAGGATGCACTGGAAGTGGAGTAATAAGGTTGATTCTTCACATTATAAATGGGGTTAGATGCAGCCTGCAACATAGCAACAACACATTACATGTGAGATTAACAGTAAAGAACAAGTTCCCTATTTGCTAAAAGCAGAACCAAGCCATATTTGGTAGTTTCTATTCAGTTCAGACTAACCATATAAGTCGCCCAGGCTTGAGGAGGCAAAAGACCTTGAGAGGGTGAAACCATAACAGGAACATAGGACTGAGGAACTTGTGGACGAGGCATAGTGCCATATGTTGCAGGAGGCAAAGACATCATTGTTAATCCACCACCATAGTGTAAACCTGAAGAAGGAAAGCTAAACATTCCATATGCAGTAGAATGTCCATTGTCAGGATGAGGATGGTGGAATTTGCAAGCAACTCCGAATCTGCATGTTCCCGTTCGCAGGTAATATGGACATGGCTTCTCACCCTGGCAAACAAAACTCAAATAAGTCTTCCACATTCACTAAAAGTATATCTCTATATAGAAACTGCGATAAAATTACCTGACGCATAGGTAAACCGATAACATTGAACAAAACAGGTTCTGCGCCGTTCCTGTCTTTTGGGTGATGATATTTACAAGTTGCACCATACTTACAAGCTCCTGTCTTCAGAAAATACTGCAACAAAATTGCATATAGAAGAGGAAGTTGTTTGGAAAACATCTTTCAGAAAAGCCAAACAAATCAGTGTATCTATTGGCCAAGCTTATCTATCTTTCAAATCGAGTTAAGACTAAACCAGACAAGAGGAATATATTCTGCAGTTCAATGTAGATTCTTGTTACCTCTTAAGTGAAGTTACAGAGTAAGAATAAGTCCTGTTACTTAAGTCGAATGCATAATGCAAAACAGAATATTGTTTCTTTACCCTCTATAATGCACTCATACAGCAACAACAACAAGAAAAGATCAAGTTAATCAGGTTTGAGATAATAAGAGAGATCCCAAGAACAGCACCTCACAATCAGGTTGTCCAAATCTCTCAGGAAGCTCTTCTTTCTGATAAATAATACCCTATTAAGAAGTTCAAAAGCATTAAATATGAGGCAAATTGCAACTAATTAGACTCAAAAACAAAAATATCACTTTTCTTCTTCACCTGTGGAAGATGAGTAGGATGATTGTAACGGCAAGTGCTTCCATAGCCACAGAGACCAGTTCTTAAATAGAATTGACAGTCTCTTTCGCCAGGACGATCTGGATACGGATTCGATTCGTTTTCATTCACTTTCATCCTCTTAAAGGCATCTAAAGATCATCATACCAACAACATTATAAACATCAACATGATTACTTTAATGATGTCCAAACTTTAGATCACTAGATACTACTAAAGGCAACAGAAACGTAAACAAGACTCATAAAAATTTCTTAAAAGAGATCAAATTTCCGAAATGCTATGAAATTTGAAAACAACCCAATACGATCTTCAAACGCATTACATCAAAACCAAACCCGATCATATGGATCTCTAGAGATTAAGAAACATACCTTCGATTTTATCGGAAGATCGAAACGAGCTATGAACATGCTGAGTGTCAGACATGGGTCGCATGTAACAATGAAGACGATGATCACGATGATCAACAACACACAACAAAAATGGGGGAAAATCACAGATAAAGTGTTATGATCATCTAAAAGAAAAAGATTGTTATCCTTTTTTTTTCTGGGTAAATAAATGTCGATGAAGAACAAAAAAAATCTACAGTTTTTGCATCAGAACAGATCCAATTGGGAAAAATCAATGCTTAAAAATATTCTCGAATGATTTGAATTTTCTTCTTTATTCTCTGTAGAGAGTAGTGAAGATTCTTCAGAGGAAAATTTCGGATCTTCCTCCTTTTTTGTTTTTGCCCTTTTCTCTCCTCCGATGTCTGTGTTTTCAATGTGAATAGAGAGAGAGAGAT